TTTTAATATGAGAATATGTAATTTGTGTCGACGATTTTTTTTAACCTCATAAAGAGAGATAAGAACTGTTTAGGTAAAGATATAACTTTAAAAGCTTATATGATAAGAGTATGATATTGATCGGAAATTTACCTATGCTGGTATGTTGAATGTAAGCCTAAGTAATTATACTTTTCTCTATGTACTGAAGCACATATCGATTTCACTAATAAGGCCCATTTTATATTAATATTTAGTAATATTGATCACCCAGTTAAATCATAGATCAACCCTAGAGAAATATGGCATTTGCGATAAATGTTAAAAATAGTTAGCGATCTGAAGGATGAAACTGACAAAATGCCTAATCGAATATTGATAACGCTTAGGTCGTCATTACACCTGCAGAAGGAGCGCCACGCCCGCCAGAATCCACTTGGCTGGCTTCTCCTTTGTCTTGAGGCTGAAGGTCCACACATAATGAGGTCCTCGCTCCCGAGTTTTATACATGGGGCACTCATACAGGTTGCGGCTCTCAGCCTTGTCCACGGTGATGGCCTAAGGAGAGGAGGGGAGTTATTTTCACTGAAATTCTCATTTTCTTTCTCATTCTTAATGCTATATATATGTAGGAAGAAATAAAATATGTACATAAGTTAATTCAAGAAGATTTCAATGCTCTCCTCTTTTCCTTCAAATTCTCTCTGTACCTTAATGAACATAACTGGCATAAGCGGATGGAGTTCCTTTAGTCGCGAGTCAATCAGGATGGAGTTATCGGTGTCCCAAGAGGCTCCCTCCAAGAAAAGCCCGTGTACATAGGCTCCCTCACGAGGCGGCGATCTGCGGGAGGGAAAGGCAAGAACATGGTGAGGGCGGGAGAATGTTAAGCCTTTCCATATACCAGATACGCATGATCGATGATATGCAAACTTTGTTCAGCAAAATATAGAAAAATCTGATGATGAAGTCTCACGTAAAGTCTTCCTTATTCTTCTTGGTGACGTCGCACTGCAGGCACATCTGGTCGAGGGGAAGCTCGCACTTGCGGGCGGTGCTCTGCATGATGGCCGTCAGGAAGCTCTGCGGGTTGAAGAAGCCGGCCAGCCACACCGACGGCGGCACCTGCGGGCGACGGGCGGTTGTGCAGTGCGTTGCGAGTAATGCTCTTCAGATAATATCCTGACAGACTACTTTGGACATTACTAATCAAACAGAATTCAACACTCTCAATACAGAAGGTAAATTCAGATGTTATACTTTCGCTCTACTTACTGCAGAAATAATATCTTGGAAATGTCAGCAATACAAAAAGAATTAAATAGTACATGTTGAAACGTTTTTGGCCACAACACTACGGGCGTTACCTGGAAGTCGCCGACCCAAGTCTCCAGCTCCTTCATCCTCAGCAACAGGTCGGCATACCAAGACGTGAGCCCGAGGGTGGAAGCATACGCCCGCACCGCCCACGACTCGGGCACTTGATCGAGGAACAGCGCTCCGCTAAGTTCCTCCATCGCTGACGTTATTTTCAGCTCACCCTGAAACGTTTACAGACATATTTATAGACGATACCGAAAAATTGGTTATTAAAATAATGCTAGGAGATAAAATCAGCAAGTATACCTTCTGGTACTTCAAGATGATCATTAAGTGTATACTAAATAAGTATCACATTTCAAATGATGCTCATTATATTCACTGCTGGAAATTACTCTACTTTTATTGAATCCTCACGTACTCCCGGAATATCTATCTTGATACGATATATTACAAGTTTTTGAAATGATGTTAATTTTCCTCTTCAATTTACGATATAGCTACAGAAATAAACATATTTTTGGAATATTACACCGCCCTTCATAAGGGAAAAGAAAATAATCTGCCCCTTTTCCTTCCTCATACCTTGAAACCCAAGTCGAGCTCCTTGAGAGACATCCGGATGATGCGGATGAGGAGGTTCATCCGCTCGCACTCCTGGAAGGCGACCACGACGTAGGGCGTCCGCTCCTCCACCTTGCCCGTGATGTCGGACATGTTGAACTCCTCGGGCAGCTTCTCCAGGATCTCGTCCAGGGTCTGCTTCACCTGAAAGAGGCAAGGGAAGGGATCCTATATCTGCCAGCCCAGAATGGATCCATTAATTGAAGTGCCGAGGCAAATTCTGTTTTGAAATATCAATGAATGTTTCATTTCCTGCAAGATAAACTGTTGAACGGAAGTGGTCATACTGCATTTCAGGAAAGATATTGTCAAACCTGACCACCAGAGTGTCAAATGATATTCACGGTAGTATTCACAGCTGCTTGCAAAACCTTTAATCAACGGAAAAGATTACCAACATGAGCAAATATTTTGTTTCATTATAAATATATCTCCCAAACAGTGTACAGTAAACGATAGTGTGGGAAGCAGATATTTTGTTTTATTATTAGTATATCTTCCAAATACTGTATGATGAGAGATGGTCAAGAGCTTTTTAACAAATCTAAAAGTCGGGGTGCAAAGCGACTAAGGATACGTATCAGCCAAAGGCCAAAATAGCGCATATGACCCCTTACCTTGTCTTCTCTTGTGATGACGACACCTCCTGTGTTCCCCATGTCTCGCGGCTGGAGCTCGAACACCGTCTTGAAGAGGTGCTCCGACGTCATGGTGAGGAAGCCGATCTCGGCGTTGGGGTGGAGGCCGTACAGGTGGGGTGATTCTTGGGGGAGACACGTGTCTATGTAGCTGTGGTAGCCCGAGTAGTCCAAGTTGGGGGGCGCTGGGAAACCTGGCGCGAGGTTCAGCTCTCCATCCAGCTGCAGATGTTGATTCATTAACAAGGGAATAGAGAGATTCAGAGAGATAAATGTACATTTCGTTTGTACGTTCTTTTTTTCCTCTTTTAATCAGAAAATATGAGAACCACTAACTCGAGTGGTTACAGCACTGCAAGCAGAAAATGAGACCAAAACACGCAGAAGCCTCTAACTATCCGAGGATTTATGTCGAACAGACAATGCTGATAGAACAAAACCTATCTCGCAGCTACCTGGTCTGGGTGCAGGAACTCCTCGAGGTACGTGCGACACAGCCTGCGGTCCCAGTCGTCCGTAATGTGGCCCCCGTACATAATCTCCCCGAAGAGGTAGCGGAGGTCCTCCCAGGGAACCTTGCTGTTCGCCTCCAGGTAGTTGAACAGCACGTTCACGCTGATAGTCAAGTCGCCTGAAAGAAACGGACTATTAGTTTGTATATCCTGTTAGAAAAATAGTAAGACCAAAAACTTGAATATATCAGATCATATTATTTGAGAGATACTTTAAATTAATATGCTGATAAAATAGTATATCTGCTCTTCACGCAGGGAACGATGGCAACTTCTCCCCCCAAGCGTACCGGTGTTGAAGGGGTAGGGTCTGTTCCATCCCTGCGACCCGAACTTTCTCCTCTCCGCGACGCATGCGTGGAAGTAACACAGAGAGAACAAGAGGGACTTGAATTCGGCCTCTTTGGAGCACATCTCGAGCGTGTCTTGCGTGAAGTTGTAGAGCGCCTTATGGAGGTTGGCTTGCATGCCCCGAGGCGGCTCGTTGGTGATCTTGATGGCCGACTCCAGGATGCCCTGTGGCAGGTGAGGAGGTGGTTGTTTTACCATATTTGTCCGAGATCCCAAAAGTTCTTACCGAATACAAATATTTAATTGATACAGGCATATTCAAGTATTGAGGGGAACAGTTGTACCCCTTTAAGAACCAAGCAGAAAGGCATGGTGAAAGAAATAGAAAGAAATGTGATGAACCGAGAAAAAATCATTAAAAAAAAAATTAACAAACGGCAACAGAAAATAAATGAACCATACAAAGAAATTTGATGAACCAAACCATAAGACAAAATGAAGCAAACAAATAGAGATAGGATAAATCAAATGGAACAAACGAAAAGACATGAAATGAACAAAGCAAGAAGACGTATAATGATCCGGACAAAAAGGATAAAATGAACCAAACTAAAGGCAAATGGCGAGGCAGACAAAAAAACAAAAAAACAAAAACACATGATAAACCAAACAAAACGACATAAAACGATCCGGACAAAGACAAATGACGATCCAAACAAAAAGACACATGATAAACCAAGTAAAAAATGTATAATGAATCAAACTGATGAAGTAAATAGAAAGAGAGGTGATATACTAGACAAAAATTACATAACAAGCTAAAAAAAAAAAATAAATAAAAAATAAACAGCCAGAAAAATGTTAAGATCCAAACAAAACAGAGACACCAGACAAAGGGTACACAATGAGTGAAACAAAAGGACATGTGGTAAATTAAACAAATGAAGTACAGTGAACCCAGCAACCAACCAAACAAAAAGATTATGATGAACCAAACTAAAAGACATATAATGAATTAAACGCAAAGATATATGACACGATGAACGAAAAGGCCAATTGACACCCAAAACAATAACTGATCCATTAGCAATAATTGAATCGCGTTTTCAATTATCTTAATATATGTGCAGAGGCAAAACATATAACAAGCGAAACACAGCATCTGATAAACCCAACAAAAGGAAATGCGACAAATCAAGAAAAAATAACAAAAAAGAATTATTCAAATAAACATATGATGTACCAATCAAAGTCATTAACTAACAAAAATACGTATAATGAGCAAACCAATAGGATTTAATGAACCACAAAAAGACATGAAAAACAAAGGGAGAGACATAAGATGGGCCAAACAAGAATATGGCTAACCATGAGTGAACCGAATGTAAAATCGTATAGTTAATTGATTGATTGATTATTCAAAATTATTTGCCATGTCAACAGCTGACATCAATATCGGCGAATAGCTTATGAGATTAAAAAGTTAAAATAATTAGAATGTTTAAAAGTCTAGGAATAAATAATGTCCTTTGTTAGCAAAAATAAATAACAGTAAATATAGTGTTGAAAAATCAAAGCATAAATATTATACTTTATGATGAATCATAATGAAAAAGCACAAGAAGGAAGGAAACCTGCGGCAAGATGTGGTTCTCGGGCTTGCTTGCGGGCTCAGCGCTCATGAAGACCCTGTACTCTTGGTGAGCTCCGTCTGCGTGGGCCTCTAGCTTCTTCTCCAGCTGCGGAAGCCACTGTCTCACCAGATGAATGTTCTGTGAAAATGAATAATCATTAATGTCTACTTGGATCCTTGATGCTATCAACGATTTGTTTTCTTTAGATTTCTTTTGCAAAGAATATACGTAACCTTTTTTTCTACGAACAATAGCGTGATAATCACACAGTAAGGGGACTTTAATGACAGACCTGCAGGATGACCCAATGGCCCTCTTTGGAGGCGATCTGAATGGCCTCCTCCGCCACCTTCTCCTGCCCTTGGCCCAGCGACACGTTGTGCAGACGCCGGTTCTCGCAGGTGTAGCCCAGGCTGTGTCCAAGCCGCTCGACGTCCTGTGGCAATCATTGAAGGAGGGGGAGGGGAGGGAATGGAGAGGGAGACAGGAGATTGGGAGAGGGGGGGTGTGTGTGGGAGAGGGAGAGGGAGAATAAGAGAGAGAAACGGAGTGAGAGGGAGTGAAAGTGAGAGAGGGAGGTAGAGAGGGAGTGGAGGCAGAGAGGTAAAGAGGGAAAGGGAGAGAGGGAGAGAGAGAGAGAGAGGAAGAGAAAGAAAGAAAGAAAAAAAAGAAAGAGAGAGAGAGAGGAGAAGAAAGAGAAAGAAAGATAGATAGAGATAGAATACTGTAGTTAGGTCTAAGGACTGAAAGGATGCAATTATAAAAGGATAAAATGAGAAGTACAAAAGTATACATATTAATAAAGGATTCAGTTGCGAAACAAAGTAAAAACTTTCTCCTGAAGCTGACCTTGAGAGGGTCGACGCCGGGGGAGAGGATGAAGAAGATCGGCGTGGACGGCCCGCTCTCCTCGTAGCTCTGCGAGAAGTCGATGTTCTCGCCCTCCACGTACTTCCTCCCCATCCGCTCCTCGATGAACAGCCTGGGGGAGGGAGCGAAGGGAGTGTCAGGCTTTCGTAATGAAGGTGTAACTGCATAGCTTGATCAGCCCCTTTTTATTTGTGTCGTATTCTCTTCTTTTCTCTCACTCACACATTATTTTGTGTGACATTTTCCTTTTCTTTAAACTTCTCCCTCTCCAACCCCACCCGTTCCACCTCATCTACCATCCAAGACAACAAAACTTACTGCATGGCGTGCGTCATGCGGTCAGGACGCAGCGCCCTCATGATGACCAGCCGCTGCACGTCGGATTTGCCCTTCCAGTCACCCGGCAGCTTCTCCTTCTCGGGCGCCTCGCACTCACAGTACATGCGCCATCGCTTTACGCTGTTCTCCAGGTCGCGGTCCAAATTCCTGCAAGCGGTTAGCCGTTTCATAAAAGTACAAACATATGTAGCTATTCCGGTCAACTCATTGAGACAATCAATCAACATCGCTGCAAATTATCAAAAAGGTATAGCAATCATTCCTCATAATTGAAAATCATAAAAAACTATGCTCTGAAAATAAGAGGCACAAGATCTAGCAACAGTTTGCTTTTGAGACGATTATTGTCAGTAGTCATGAATATATTAGTCTTTACAGTAGATTTTGAATAACCAATAAAGGTTTTCCATTTAAGACAATTATGCATAATAATTCTATTACGCTCTGCAAACCGCAACTCTACCTGAATTCGTCGACCTGCGAGAGGGAGCGAATCGCGCCCCAGTTGTTGTTGGTGATGAAGTCGATGGGCGAAACCACGTTCGGCTGAATCGGGAACCGAAGCAGAAGGTCCAGCTCGATGGCGCCCACCTCACCCTGGGAGGCAAGGACCTGGAAAAAGATAAACACTGCTGTCGAATATCGCCAATACCATGTTAGAAGTAAATTCATTTTGAATCTTTATAGTATGGGGCTTGTACACATAGGAGTTTAAGGCTGGCCATTTTCTTGAAAAGACAGATATCATAAAGAAAAAAAGAAAAAGAAAAAAAATTGAGAGAACATGGATTCAATGAATGGCTGCAATGAACCAGAGGCTCGCAATATTCCATGTCTAGTAACAGAAATAGCAGATAAAACCAATAATAATCAATTAACAAATCCTTGCAATGTTAAGCATTAATCACCATTCATAAAAACAGTAAATAATGAAAATGAAGTAAAGTTAATGTATTAAATCGAAAGGCGAATAGAGACTTTGATCCCCGCACAGCGACGGGCCTGACTCGCCTGGAAGGTCATCTGGGCGGCGAAGATGAGCTTGTCCTTCTCGAAGAGTCCTCTGGTGGTGTAGAGGAACACGCTGTACGTGATGGTGTCGATGAGGGCGTTCACGCGCAGCCGCACCTCGTCGTTCGCCTCCGAGCGCTCGATGGCCTGCTGGAACACCACTCGGAACGCCTGGCGGGAGGACAGGCCAGGGGATATGAGTTGCAGATTCTCTTTGTTTTCAAACAAAATGTTGTGGTAGAAAAAATCAAGGTACAGAATTTGAATTGCAAACACACAAACACGAGAACAAAACACTGACACCAAGTATCAGATGAAAAAATCGAATTTCATTGTCACAGGTCAAGTAATCCCCTTAAAGATTGCACGCACAGCTTTCAAAACTGAAGGCGAAGTTTCCCACTGAACGAAGGCGATAACCAACCTTAAGGGAGAACTGGTAGATGGGATTGATCTTGTGAAGGTCGTTGAGGATGAAGTACAAGAGGGAGGCTCGGGCGGCGGCGGGACGGTAGATTTCGCGGGCCTCGTCGATCTGCGCGCTCGTGTTGCGGGCTTCGGCGACCTGCGAGGAGAGGGAGGAATATGGCGATTGCTCTTTGCTCTTACTCCCTTTTAGTTGCAGGGCACGTCAGATTGGTTTGTTGGACTGTACTGCTCTTAATCACATAATGCTGGTGTTATTATTACGCTTCTAGAGCAACACAGAATGTTCATAATACAACAGTAGGGGATGACTTGCCTTCTCCTGAATCTCCTGCGCCGTGGCCTTCGTGTGCTCCAGATTCTCCACCAAGGCCGTGTCTCCCAAGAAGTTTCCTCCGGCGGACGACAGGCGGCTCAGCAGGTCGTCTTCCAAGTGCTTCAGCTGAATTTTGAAGTCGTTTTGTTGCTTCGTCAAGTTATACTGAAACACAAGATAAACGGCGTCTTTAATGCCTTTGATTGTCATTGCTTGGGTATGTATGCTGGCGATTCTATGTTAGCAGTGAGGTTCCTATTTGTGTGGTGATAACTGGACACCATTTTTTCAAGGAGTTATCCTCAGATAGCTCATCTAAAAGCCACCAAGCATTACCTTGAGCTCCTCCAGGTCTGGCCTCTCGGCCTTGACGACCTCCGCCAGCAGCTGGTCCTCGAGGCCGTCGCGCGTCACCGTGAAGTTGATCAAGGTGCACTGCGCCTGCAGTTCGGGCTTGTAGTGCGGGTTGGCCAGCTTGGTGTGGAGGATCAGCTGGAACGTGTCGTTGTATTCGATTTCCCGGTCGCCGATTTTCAGTGCTCTGGGAGAGGAGGATGCATTCGGCGAAAACAGCATATTTAGTGATATTTTCGTATGGAAATTGCAATTAACACTGCTGCTAACTTTACTACTGTCACTACTAAGACAACTGTATAAACTTTCAGTTCCTGTTTTACTAAATAACTTTTCATTTTCATTTTTCCATTGTCTTCTCGCCCACCCGTATATCATTCTCCCTCTACCCACTACCCCCCCCCCCCGACTCCCTCCCCTCCGCCCCGCTCACCTGCCGCGCTTGATAAGGTTCTTGCCGATGAGCGGGTCGAGCACGGGGTCGAGGCTCTCCGGGAGGTTCTCGATGAGGACGGTCTCGCCCCGGGTGATGGCGGCCTCCAGGACGTCGATGGAGTTCTTCTGGTCGAGGCGCACCACGATCAGCTGTTCGCCGTACCTCGCCTTGATCCACTTGATGCCCTGGAGCTGTGTGTGGGCAAAAGGGCGGAATGGTTGACTTTGCTCGTTATGGATGTGTATTTAGTTATAATGAGGGGCAATAGATAGCGTCTTTTGCTTAGGAATATCTTCTGAAGGAAAGAAAGAGCTCATCTACAAATGCCTGAAGCCTAGCCCGCTAATCAGCTCCAGGACTTCAGATGGTTCAGCTGGAAAGGAAGCTTGTACCTGCGGGTCGATAATGAGCGGCCATCGATCGGAGTTGGTGAGGATGATGGCGTTCTCGGTGGACATGCGGTCGGACGGGAGGCCCTCGTTGTTCCAGCCGGCGATCGTCGCGTCGTCCGTCAGGAGCTTGATCGGGTCCAGGTTGTGCGTGATGGGGATCACGGGCTGCAAGAGGGGGACTGATTATGCCTTTTTTCTGGTGAAGAGCAACAACAACTGTCTACTGTATAGCGGTGCATTTCTAACAGTTGAAATTGAATATTTGTTACACTGAAAATAAAATTTATTTGACATTATGAACAAAATTCCTGTTTAGAATGGTATTACACACGATTCATAAATTATATCAGCAATTATTATTTCTTCCCAAAGGCAACGGAAAGCAATTCCAGTTGAAAAAAACAATGGGCGATTTAATAGCGTTTGTAATTATTTTTGCAACAGATTTTCTTATTGTTTATAAACTCTACATTTAAAGATGATTTTCTCCGGCTAGCCTTCACCTCATCTTCATATAAAATTATTGTACTTTCTTTGGAAAGACCAGTACGTGATTTATTACGATGAAAAATACTACAGACGGCTAATTAGAGGCAACGAACAATTTCCTATTTAGGCATGCAATTTCGTGACTTTAACAGCAGGAGTCGGCGAAGTAGGAATGGAATCGGAAATAGAGAACAGAATGACTATTCACATAGGAGAAAGAGACAATCCCGTTTTATATTTACACTGCAGACCAACTCTCTCGTTTCGAGCTTTGAAACTTATCACGCTAATTTCTACACAAAAGTCTGGTTTACTAGACTACTTCCTAATCTCTACCAAGTGCAGGATAGTCTTTTGAGTCTCCCAGAG